GATGCCATCTAATCCTGTTTACAGGAAATAAGCTGGGATGAGCTTCGAAGAACCAAACTATCCAAGATCATGCCAAATCGTCAACAATCAAATCCAGCTAACTGAGTTAGCGACGTACGAAGAACGGGCCCCTGGAGGACCACTGTTCTGCAGAGTTTACCTCCAACCCTAATCAAATACACCTGTCTGTAGCTTTCTATCGATCTTGAAGACATTGATTAGCTTGTTCAGGTGTTTTTTAATGGGGTTGGAACTAAACTCTGCAGGATAGCGGCCCTCCAAGACCGAAGTTGCCCAGCACTGACATAAGGTGACAACCTAAATCCTAGGTCTCCTGGGGACCCACTGTCCTGCATAGTTTAGTTACAACCCTAATCAAAAACACCTGAACCAAATAATCAAGCTCTTCTAGATCACTTGAAATATCACAGTCCAGGTGAGCTAAAGCAGGCTGAAAATCAATTTTGCAAGACAGTAGGTCTCCAGGAGCAGGGTTCAAGACCTAGGACCTAAATTGTGGACTTACCATTAATGTTGTAGTTGAGGAAAGCTGAAAACTCAGAGGTCAGCTTTTCATCACTTGTAAAGGCACAAACGCAAGCATAGAAATGGAGGCAGCACTTGGGTAAACCATGCTGGTGGGAATTTTCTCCTTCGTTGATGTTAGACTGACCCCCACTTCTCACCCCCAAATCCCCCTTGGTATTAGGTACGTAACATGCACAGTGAAAGGGAGCCAGACTCATAGTCTTGTCTTTAACACCAGATACGGTCACTGTCAGATGCAGCAGTCCCAGAGGGTGGGCTTCTCCTGGCTGGCACTTCACTATTAGGGTCCCTTTAGAGACCCTCTGCACCAGGGGTCCCGGTGTCTCGGTAGCCAGCCTCCACAACTCTTCCTTGTCTTGGGAAGTGGCCACTAGGGCCTCCAGCACAGAGCTCTTGAGTGGCAGAGGTGTTGCTTGGGTCTGACACTCCATGGCTTGCTTCACATGGGTACAGGGACTTTTGGATGGTTGTGACACTTGCTGATGGCCACCTTCAACTGTCAACTCCCTTTCGTTCTGCTGGCAAGAGGGCATGTAACAGCGACCGAGGTTGACACGGGTCAACAGGGTTCCATCTGCAGTAGTAATAGCTGTATCCGTGAGGACTAACTCCACAAAGCCTCGTTGTTCAGAGCCATGTCCCCGCTGACGCACAGAGAACACTTGCGGCCCTCCAGCCCTGCCACCTCCACTGTCTGTCACAACTCGAACCACTTCACATGCCCCTTTCTTTAAACGTCCCGTTCCATGGTCCCCATCCCTGAAGATGGTTCCACAGGCCTTGTTCTTACAGCTGAGGCCACGAGTGCCATTGTAAACGCCACACTGAGGGCACTTGCGGATGCCTCTTAAGGTAGCCTTGCCCAAGTTGGACAGAAATGCAGGAGTCTTCCGCTTGTCCCGAGGCTTCACGCTCAAGTTACCAGAGCTTTGAGTAATGGGAGAAACCACCATTTGTGACGCCAGTGGTATTCCAAAGTTTACCAGAGAACCATCCATTGTTAGCAGATGTACACTGAAACCGAGATTGATACAGGACAATTTTATTGTCAATGCACAAGGGGGGAGCCCTAAACAAAGGACTGTTTAATTGCTGTAGTGCTACTATGGTACAGTGCAGCCTTTTTACTGGGGCACAAACCCCAGTGAAGTATCGCTATGTGTCTCAGTAAAATATTACTGTTAAATCCTCGTCTGACTGTGGAGATTACCATACACCATGTACTGGTTTGTAAAAAGGTCTAAAACTGTTCATGATTCAGTTTAATTCATTCAGACAGTTCACTCACACATTGCATTGCTTGAAGAGGTTTCTCACATCCAGATAGGTTCTTTATATGACAAAAAAAAAGCACTGGATAGATATTTACCTACAGTCCTTTGTAGGAAACAAAATGTGCAAATGTATTCTATCGTTTGGCAGCAAAGCAGCTCATTACTGTGCCTGCGACTTGTGAATACTGCAGGTCAAGGAAATTTATATTTTTTACAAAATATATAACAGTACCAAAAAGAGTATCAAAATATGGGTATACTTTTTTATTTTTAAGTTTAATTTTATTTATTTATTTAATTTGTTTGGACTTGGGCCTATGAAACTGTATTAAAGGCTAGAAATGCTCCAGGTACAGTAATGGTACCAGGGAATACCATGTCAGTGGAAGGTTAACATACCACACTGTCTGTCACAACTCGAACCACTTCACATGCCCCTTTCTTTAAACGTCCCGTTCCATGGTCCCCATCCCTGAAGATGGTTCCACAGGCCTTGTTCTTACAGCTGAGGCCACGGGTGCCATTGTAAACGCCACACTGAGGGCACTTGCGGATGCCTCTTAAGGTAGCCTTGCCCAAGTTGGACAGAAATGCAGGAGTCTTCCGCTTGTCCCGAGGCTTCACGCTCAAGTTACCAGAGCTTTGAGTAATGGGAGAAACCACCATTTGTGACGCCAGTGGTATTCCAAAGTTTACCAGAGAACCATCCATTGTTAGCAGATGTACACTGAAACCGAGATTGATACAGGACAATTTTATTGTCAATGCACAAGGGGGGAGCCCTAAACAAAGGACTGTTTAATTGCTGTAGTGCTACTATGGTACAGTGCAGCCTTTTTACTGGGGCACAAACCCCAGTGAAGTATCGCTATGTGTCTCAGTAAAATATTACTGTTAAATCCTCGTCTGACTGTGGAGATTACCATACACCATGTACTGGTTTGTAAAAAGGTCTAAAACTGTTCATGATTCAGTTTAATTCATTCAGACAGTTCACTCACACATTGCATTGCTTGAAGAGGTTTCTCACATCCAGATAGGTTCTTTATATGACAAAAAAAAGCACTGGATAGATATTTACCTACAGTCCTTTGTAGGAAACAAAATGTGCAAATGTATTCTATCGTTTGGCAGCAAAGCAGCTCATTACTGTGCCTGCGACTTGTGAATACTGCAGGTCAAGGAAATTTATATTTTTTACAAAATATATAACGGTACCAAAAAGAGTATCAAAATATGGGTATACTTTTTTTATTTTTAAGTTTAATTTTATTTATTTATTTAATTTTTTTGGACTTGGGCCTATGAAACTGTATTAAAGGCTAGAAATGCTCCAGGTACAGTAATGGTACCAGGGAATACCATGTCAGTGGAAGGTTAACATACTAATGGTACTTCAGAAAAAACACACACACACGCACATGCCCAAGAAACCCTGGTGTTGGATTACAACATGTCTAAAAACCCATATTACTTTATTTGAAAACCCATGGCACTTTATTTGGTTAATGTAATCTCTGATTGTAAAATCCCAAGGCAATAAAACATTTTAAGTCTATGATGAATGACTATATTATGAATAGTTTTAGTACATACTAAATTATGTAAATTTAAATAACATTTAACATTTGCACAAATGAATGACATGCAATCATACTGTACTACAGTATAAGATTAACAATGCATTCAAATGACACCGATACATCGGGACTGATTTGAGTTTAACATTAGCTGTGCGACAGTGAATGAACAGAGTTAAGTAAATGATGATGAAAGACAGGCCAACCTCTACAGCGGCGCTCTCCGGGCAGGCGCTCAGTGGTCAGATTCCGCGGAGTACTTCACTTCAGAGCTTCAGCGACCGTCGCCATTCCTCCTTACAAACAGACTCTCCGCTGCGGTTGTAACGAGCTTCCCGATTGGCCACAGGGCGACCAATCAAAAGTATACTGGGAACTGAAGTCAATAGTGACTCTCATTATTTACTAGCTCGTTCACATTTTGGAAAATAATTATTTCTCCCTAATTTCGTTGGCTTGTTCTTTGTTTTCATTTCTAGACTTTGGGAACTTACTCTAGATAATTTAAAGTACTTATGTATAACAATTACACAATAATATATCTCTTATGTGTTTTTTTTTTTACCATACCATTCTTACCATACCTTCAATTATTTTTGCTACTTAAAATTTCATGGAGATTTTAATTTACCTTTGTTCCAGATCCGTCCATATGAACATAAACCTATACAACTTAAATACATTTCATGTTCAAACCTATCATAACCTGAACACCTAAAAAACACCTTTTATTAGTTCCATAAATTACAACCGTCCCTCACTTGTCATTTCCCATTTTTCCCCTAATAAAGCTTTTATTATTATTATTACTATTATTTTTCTAATTAGCAAGCCCAATATGTCAAGTAACACAATCTAGCTCAAAGACAGGACAGACAAATGTTGGTTCGCATCTGTATTTTAATGGGACAAAACAAGAACACGTAATAATAGGATGAACATTATTTTAAAAATCCCTCAAAACACAGGGTCTCAATTTATTTGTAGGCACTGCCTATGTTTAATTAACATCAGTTTCTTCCAATGAAATCAACTCACATAAGGCAACACAATTGGTCTCGTCTTTTAAAACTCCAATGGGCAACAGTGCAAAATTCTGATCCATTCTGGTTTCTCGTCTTGATACTGAATACTTAATTTAAAAAAAGTCAACATTTCGATTTTATACACAGAATTATCGCAATTCTAACAAAACGTTCGTTGCATCACAAGACAGCAGATTCTTCCCCAAGACTTATCTGGAAGAATCCTTAAAACCTTATGGACCAGCATTTAACAGAGCTGCTAATGCTGAAAGATAGTTGCGATGAAGCCCAGAACCCCCTCCCCACCCAAGGTCCCGCCCACCTACCTACAAAAAAAAAAAAGCAAGCAAGCATCCATAATCAATATCTGAATTATCTTTATATAGCGTCCCAACAGCTGAACACAGTTGTTTGGTTATTTACATACAGAATGGTATACTGTACTGATGAGGCCTCAAAAAAAGTGGAATGCAAAACAATTTAAAATACCTAAAATTTGCGTAACATCAAATTCTTGTGAAAACGTATTAATATTGTGCAATATTCATCTGCCTTGAAAGAAAAAAATGTGGCAGTCATCCCTGCAATTGGTTCAGTTTGAGAAATTGAATGTCTAATTAAAAAATACAACAGTTGACATCCATTTTATTCATTTTATAAACAAAAAAAAAGTTTACATTTCACACGATTCATTGGTGTCATCGCTCCTCTCAACAAAACAATTTTGCTTTTAAAATGGCAAGTCCAAAAAAGAAAAAGGCAAAGCTTCATATATTACAAAATCAGCAGTTGAAATCGCTCTAAACAAACCAAAAAAGCAAAATGGAAAAAGTTGCAGTTATTATTGATTATTTATAGTACTTTGAGTTAAAAATGGAATAGTCCTCTTCGAATAAGTCAGTCGGACACCAGGCCGAAGACTTGTGGATTTATGTGGGTGTGTGTTAATGTGTCTGAATACGTTTGTGTAACAGGGTGTGTTGTTTAATCCCAGTGTAGGGCAACTCGAGACCCCGCGATGACGAGCAAGATCTGCCTTAAAGTCTTAAAGGAAAATAACACGTGGCGGGTGGGGAGGGTCAGGAAAAAAATGGCACACCCCCTCCCCAGGCCAGGCATCTTGATGGGTGTCTAAGAATGGGGTGGGGGTCGTGTGTAGATCCCTGCTGCGGCCGCAGTGGAGTGCTAGAGTTGTCCGTCGCTCCATCAGTGTGTGTGGTATCCTGCAGTGCCCATGCTGGACTGATTGGCTAGCACGGTCCCGTTGACACCCTGCGCAGGCTCCACCACGCCTCCGTTACTCACGGCGCTCACACCGGGCCACCCAGCACCAGCCTGAATGTGACTACAAGACACAGTGGCTGTTAAGAGGCTGGAAAAGATATTTAGCAGATACTTTTACGTGATCATAGTAACTGACAACAGTCTCCCATTTACCTAAAAATGTATGAGTGAAAATGTTGACCACAGAGTCTACACACTTTTTCCACTAATTCGCTTGGTGGCGTCAATGAAATCCCTCATTTGAACTATTTACCACTGCATAAATGGTTAAACCACCATTTTGGACAATGTTTTTCCCAATAGTTTGTTTGGATAAGGATTTTCATTTGTTTTGTTTTTTTTAAACGCTGCAGTGCACACACAAAATAACAATTTCTAGTCAAATAAGTATTTGAGCCACACACACAACTAAATTATTTTTAGTGGTTGCCAAATATTTGGCTTTTTATTTTTTTCAATTATAGGTATTGGCTGATGAGTTCTTCTGTTTGGCTAACAAGTGTCAGAAGTGGGACTTTTATATTTAAACTACTTCAGTCTGTGTGCATTGAATTTATTTAATACACGAGTTTCACAATTTGAGTTGAATTACTGAAATAAATGAACTTTTCCACGACATTCTAATTTATTGAGATGCACCTGTATACTGACAGTGACTTTTATTTTGAAATCCCCAAAATTATTTAATTTAATGTCATGTCTTTCCCTTTATTTGTGAAAAACTATATCAGAATAAATAAGAATACAAAATCAGAAAGTTGCTAAAGTATAAAACATTCTACGTTATTTTTTAAATTCAAATTATTTTGTTCATACATTTTTAAATTACAGCACATACGAATTAAGAAATAAAATATACCTGATTGTAGCATAATTTATGAATATGCACTGCATATCTACACCACTGTGGTCTCTGAATTATTGGCATCGGCCATCAAAAAAATAAAATTAAAATAAATAAATTATAAATATAATTATATATATATATATTTTTTTTTCCTTCGTCACCCTCTAATTGTATTCACTGTCAAAGTGTCTACAACGGACGATTTCATTTTCAAGGATTTTATTGTCAGGTTTTCCTGAAGCAAAAAGTACATCCTCAACCATTTTACCCAACAGTAACAGAGATTATAATTATTACTACTATTAATTAA